CAACAACCTCTCCTACACCTTCACCCACCACAGTACCTCCTCAACTTGGGTGTTTTCTAAACAGTGCATGGTATGAACTTACTAGGCAGCGAGATTAGCCGTGCTGGTGGTAGAGGGCTGGTGCCATGGAATATCTTGTAATGCCAATGGAAAGATTGTGGCCTGGGATGACCGGAACTGTGAAGACACAGAAGTTGGCTGCATTGCCTCAGATAGCAAATGGTACCCAGCAGGCAGTGGTCTTAGTAGACGATCAGCTAGAAATGGGTGGTGTTATAGCATTTATTGTTCACTGGAATTGCAAACCAGCTACCACAGATCCTGCTACCTCTACCACTGATGCTTCTACTACCACCACTGCACCTACACCAACTACAGTCCCTACTCCACTGGGGTGTTTACAAAATGGTAATTGGTATTAACCTGGAAGCGTGATTAGCCAGGGGTCTAATGGAGAGGGATGGTGCTATGGGACTTATTGTACAGATGACAGCCAAGTGACAGCACTTGATGACTGGAAACTACAACAGGTCCTGTTTCCTCCAGCTCCATCTTTGCACCAACATCAACCCCCATCCCCACAACCTCCTCTACACCTTCTCCCACCACAGTACCTCCTGCACTTGGGTGTTTTCAAAACGGTGCATGCTATGAACAAGGCAGTGAGATTAGCCGTGCATCTGATGGAGAGGGCTGGTGCCATGTGATATGCGATGCCAAAGGCAAGATAGTGGCCTGGGATGACTGTAACTATGACAACACAGTTGAAAACCCAGAACCCACCACTAAGGCTGATAAAGGGTGTTACTACAAAAAAATGTGGCATCCTCAAGGAAGCATCTCTGAAGGTTCTGACAGCAATGGCTGCAGATAAGGAGTCATTTGTGGTGATGATGGCCAAGTTCAATGCGATGGGATGAATTTGACTGTCATCCCATCAAGGAGGATTGAGAGCCACAAACTTCTTCCACTTACAATTAGCCTTGCAATTTGATAAACAATCAAGCACTTTTACAAAAAGGTTATTACCATTTGCACTTTTACCTTAAACAAGGCATACGGTTCAAGAGTAGCTTCCTTTTTGAGCTATTTTGAAAAAATAGCTCATATGTCAGTGGTGTGAGCGTATGTATCTTTGTGGCTTTGTATCTTTGTAACTTTGTATGTTCGGATGTTTGTTGCAAGAGCCAATAAGGTTGAAGGTACTATGAGTTGATGCTTAGGAACCAATGAGATCTTGGCATTTACTTAAAAATGATATTGCCAAAGGTCGAACAAGGGCACTTTAAGACCGCCATCTTGATTCTTCACAATTTTTTCGTCTTTTATTACGGCTACGGGTGTTTGGAAACATTATATTAAATATCTTCATGATTCAAACGCTGTGTACAGTGATGCAGCTGTTTAAGGGTTCATATTTTAGTGTGGATGCTACTTCAAGACATCGTTCTGACCGAATTCGGCTATCGCGAACGGTACCACGCACGTATTTATGAGTTGTGTTTCACCTGCTTCAAGGTAGAGTATAAAAGATCATATATTTTCAAAGCTCTTCCAGTGAAGCAATAATTGATATTTAGATATGGACTTTAACTCGAAAGTATGCGGCCTATAAACTGTGGTTTTAGAAGTTTGAAAGGCAGTTTATTTTTTTAAAGCTGTACCGAGTATTGTTAATCCTGTAAACAAGCTGTAGAAATATTATTCTCTCGCTTACAAAGTTCAACAGACCTTTTTCGTTCCGGCAAAAAAAACAAACAAAAAACGAATAATAAGTGAAGAAACATGATACATCCTTCCTGCATACTAAACATTATAGTTATGGAAACTTATTTTATTTAGTAAAGATGCGTAACTTAAGTAGAAACAGTAGCTTTAGGGAATAAAATTGGAAGAAGCTAGTTGACACAATAATTAGATACTGCTTTATTGAGTGGAGTAACATGATATGAGCAGAAATATATTTCTGATAATTTTCTTGGAAGTTAATAAATGTTAGGCTATCAATCTTGACGTTACGTGAAGCATAATTTAATTGCAGATGTTGTAAAGCCGAGGTGATTTCTTAAAATCGTTTGAGAAAATTTTGTAGTAAACAATTTGCGTTTTTTTAAAGTACGAATTGTAAAAGGGCCAAAAACCAACATCTTTACGTGCAAATTGTGTGCATGAGTTATTTTTATAATTCTGTTTACTCGATTACTGTGTGATAACTCGAATTCCCTCACGTACGAACCACGAAAGGGGCAAAGTCCAACACTTTCACGTGCCAGTTGTGTGACTGTACATCTCATGCAGATTGCCTTTTCACAATAATAATAGTAACTTGAATTTACGTATGAAGACCTGTTTCGTTTTGTAGCCAATGCCTTAAAAAAGGCTCTTGTCTTTTAAGAAGCAATAGCTTTTAAAACGTGAAGAAATAAGTTGTCGGAGTTAAACACTGTTTCACTGGGTAGAATCGCACGTGAAAACCTCGTGAATTGTGATGATGCAACCGTATACCACAGTGATAAAAATCCTGGTATTTCATAACTATTCGAATTCAATGAGTCACATTTTGGCTTAAGAAACTCCGAGGAAACCTTAGAGTTGTCCTTCTAATCAACGTTTGGTGAGTAGACATATATTTTACTTTAGCAATTTGTTTAACTTGCACCAAATGTAACAGGGAAAGACAGAGGAAAGTGAATATATAGCATGAGGATCGACACAGCTGAGCGTTTCGCGTTTTCGTTTATGTACGGCAATACTCAATTTCGCACAAAAACCCAGTCTACATTTAGGACGAAAAAGGTAGATTCATCACTCTTGGTAAGGTTACACTGAAGTAGTAAAGTTACACCGAAGCATTCAAAATAGCTCATGCACGTTTAACGTGCCTATGTTCATCAATAGTTTGCAGACTTAAACAATACACAGAGTTAAGGACATAGATGAAACCACTATGATTATCCTAATTTTGTCCTGGTTCTCATAAATCTGTTAAGCTGGGATGTTATAACACACTGCTAGTAGAGAGATTACAGATTTCTTCAAGCAAAGTGTTTCTGACTCACTTATTTGGGAACTCCAAAGCACTCTTTACCACAGACACTGACAGAGACTTGAAAGCTCAAATTTTTAAAACAAATCATTTTAACATTTTGAAAACTTTCCACAAGGCTGGTCAGAATGAACTCTTCTTGAAGTCAGTTATCCCTGTCTATACAATGTAGTTTCAAAGATTACAAGTATTAAATTCCATACAGACTTCCACATACTGATAGAGTACTAAAGTGATGACGTCATAAAAATGAAATTTCTGAAATTATGGGATTTGCCAGGATATTCTGAAAGAACAATGTCCAAGACGCCTACTTACCAAAAATGAGGATTTCGGGGCAAATTTTCTCGGAGATGTTAGCCGGTTATGCTCAGAAAACTCCATACAAACCCTTTAAATTTTTTTTGGGTCGACCCAAAAAAATTTAGAAGGGTTTGCATGGAGTTTTCTATGCACAGCTGGGCTACAATCTCAGAGACAATTTGCCCTGAAATGCTCATTTTTGGCAAGTAGGCCTCCATCCTCGGAGACCCAGGGGCGGTCAGTCGGGCCGGAAGAAAAGGCGAGACAAAAGTTTTCAAGCACAAAAAGACAAAAGTTTTCAAGCACAAGCGGAAAAGCCCCTGGGCACCTACTCTCACCGAACCATTTCCAAACGGTCAAGCAAATGCTGGCTCCTGATTGGGCACAAAAAAGTGCTTTGTATTATTGTGCCCAATCGGCGAACAGCATCTCCTGAGTTCTTTTCGTGAGTTCGTACACGACGGCTATTGACTCAATCATGGATTGTCTGGCTCATGCACCAAAGAAATGCACGCAGTCAGGAATCTTTCAGTTTGAGATAAACGCTACATTTCAAAATACTGGTAGTCTTTACACTAGAGTCTAAATAAGCTAAGAAATATTTCAAGACAAGTAAATTTTAAGTTCTTCAAGTAAAAGAAAGCTTCACACACCTATCTTTTTACTTCTGCAATCAGGTTTTCCCATGCAACGTAATTAAGATTGATTGACATGCTTCGCTTTGTCAAAGCTTGGAAACCGCAGGTTTGCTAAGTCGGTTTTAAAGAGATGCAAAGTAAAGTTACTTGAGATTTTGCTTAGGCCTTCACACGCGCATTTTTGGTTAATTAAAACTTAGCAGCTCTTAAGTCTTACTTAACAGCCTACTGTAAAGACAACCACCGTCTACACGAAAACTAAAGACGCTTTTCCAAAAATACAAGCTTGAGCTTACAACAGGTATTCACGCTTGCATCAATCACGCGTTCGTAAATATTAGGGAGTTTAATTTGCCACGAGGGCTGACAACCACGAAAACGTTGCATGAAGAGTGAATTCACAGTTGAACAGGAAAGTGACAAGTTTAAGAGATGGATCAAGGAAAGCATATGTATTAGATGGAACACTCCTACAGGGATGTGGGAGCCTATCAGCTTTCTCCCATATGGACACAAGTGATGTCCACCCCCCAACCGGGGGGGGTGCATCTACAGGGTGACTTTGCGCATTAACACCTTCAGAAGCCTATTTAAGGCTTCTGATACCTTTGACGATTTTCAAGTTTTGATAAAGATGGCTGACAGTCATTGAAACTGTCAGCATCATTAACACTTTTCTTGGCTATGTTTTGAGAACATTCAAATAGATAATACTAAATATTATCTTCTCCATGTCACACCCGTACAAACTGAAACCTCAATCACGAGTAAGTTAACAAGTTAAAATTCAAATTTTTAAGTACAGAGTAAAAATATGGATTCAATGACATTAACTTCATTTATTGCACCAAAAATAGATAGAACCCATAAAGCTAATCCATGTCATACATCAACAGACGAAGGTCATTTTTAAACAGTCTCAAAGGTCCCAAAGGTAACAATGAAGTAAACATCCACAGACAGGTTAATACACTGAACAGTTACTGGAAAGATCCTTGATTATTTTCCATCAGCTAATCATACTCCACTTTCCAACGGGCCCAGGTTCCCTCTTCTGTGCAAAACCATGCTGGGAAATGAAGAGTAAACATCACACACACTCAGAATAAAACAATCAAGCATATATTAGGGGTATAGAATGGTTCCTCTAAAAACATGGGTCTCAGAAAATTTTAGCCCCATCTCCAAATCTCAGAAGCGTTTTTGATGGGTCTCAAAGTCTCGTTTTCAGGTGATTTTTGCGTCTCAGAGTCTTGATTTTTTTTCCCCTTATGGGTTTCAGAGTCTCATATTTGTCATCTTTTCTTTCCATAAGGGTCTTCAGGAGTCGATTTGTTCAGAGTTCATCAGCTTATTGGACTGAGCTAGTTACTAGATTTAAAGACAGTAAAACAAGACAAAGGAGTATACACCTGTATTGGTGGGTTTCTGCTAGCTTCTACTGGCATTTTCACTCATTTTATTTGGCTTTATTTGCACTATTATCTCGAAATTTTTGGCGCTTTGAGTCTCAGGCACAGATTTTGTAGAAGTAAAGTCTCGGGCTCAAAATTGAGAAAAGCGCTCAAGTCTCAGTCTCGAATTTTGAAACCAGTCGTAAAATCTCAAATTTATCATTCTATATCCCTTACATTACTTTACACTGTAAATGTTTCTGCTTGTGAGATCAAGTGTAGTGTAAAATAAAATGATCACTGTTCGTGGAAGGGGAGCAATATTTTCTTCAATTAATCAAGCTGTCAGAACTAATTAAAAAAACCAAACAGATTTTTTTTCATCTGCAAATGAAGTTTTTTAACCCTTGAAATATAAAAATAGCCAATAATTATTGTCAGATAAAATAATTATTTACATTCTAAATTTATATCCATTTGATTTTACATACTTTTTACTTCAGAGAAAGCATGCAACTAAACCTCTTGATCTGTTAACATACCTTTCCTCTTGTATTCATTGAAGGCTTTCATGTAGTCACTAACAACTTTTCTGCAGTTCTGTCTGGCATTAACTTCTTCTTTTCTGTGACACTCTGTGACTCTATCTCGGTATATTTTCACAATTTCCAACTCAATTAATCTCTCCAGATTCCATCGATCTCTTGCTGCTTTAAATGCCACAGGATCCTTTCGGTCAATTTCTTCAAATGATGGGGCTTTGATTCTTTCATCATATCTGGTTTGAAACTTTGCAGACATTTGAAATCTCTGCATGGAAATAAATAATAATAATTATTATAATGATGATAATAATATTTTTTAGGTATTAGATAAGCCAGGAAATAATGTAAAGGAAGCAACAGATCTACATTATGCCCACAAGATCCTGGGATCACTAGGGACAAACATTGCTACTTGGTAAAGAAAGGTGTGTGATGGGTAGTCACCACAGTATTAAACAAGCCTTTCCCCCTCCCCTCAAACACCACTAGAAACTTACAGATTAAAACAAATATTTCAAGCAAGGTTAAAATCGAGGCATCTGAGACAGAAGTGCAGTCTTGTAAGAACAGGTTTTCTCTGGTGGGGACGCCTGTCATGGCTGAAAGGGCTGCTATTTATATCATGAGATTGTATTCACTATTGCTCTGTTTGTTGATCCTTGCAGATCATAGTTTGTGTTGGAGTTTTACCCAATAGTGCTATTACTTTAGGCACAAGTTTTTTGTTCATTAGTCAGAATATGTCTGGTACAGATGTCTGGTGTAACATGGTTTGACAGATGTTAAAGACAGCAAGGAGAGTCTTGTTTTTCATGTTGCATATAAATGCCAGGCCTCAAATAAGTAAGTACCCATTGTGCTAAAATAATATGAATTTTCAACACAAGTGCATACACCTAATAGTAACTGCAGTCAAACTGTCTTGAAAAATAAAACAAAAAGAGGGAGAATTTAAAAAGCTAGATAGTAAAATTAGGCATGCTTAACAAAAAGACATAAAGGGATCTGGTCTGATGAAAGGATAAAGCTACTTTTTTAGATTACATACAAAAAAGTAACTCCTGTTGACAACCATACATTCCCATCCAGAAATAAGGGGATATAAATAGAAATAACTGGTTTCCACCAAGAGAGTCTTTTGTAGAAGTACAACGATATGATGTGTTTTTGCACCAAATGGAAACTCTGAAAAAATCCGATCCCCAGATGGGATTCGAACCCACGACCCTCCGTGATCTAGTCGGATGCTCTAACCATTGGCTACTGGAGACTCGGTGGTGAGGAAGGGTGAAATGTGGGTCTTTGACTAGAACTGCATCAGGCAGTCACATAGTCAAATCAGGACAAGCACGCATGACTCCTAACTGCATCATGCAGTCACATAAAGGCATATCACGGGTTGTCACTAAGATTCAAGTTGCCGAGTGAATACAACAAGTAGGCGGGGTATCAAACAGCTAGGGTTTTATTTTGATTCTATTTTTCATCTATTTTCCAATGAAAGTAGCTGGGAGCCACATTCATGGTAGCCAGGGAAAATCCCTGGCACCTGGCTCTTAATGACAGCCCTGATATCAGAGACGCAATCATTCAACCACCAAGGGAGTCTTGTGTACAAGTACAACAACATGATACATTTTTGCATCAAATGGAAACTTAGAAAAAAATCTGAGCCCCAGATGGGATTCGAACCCACGACCCACGACTTGATGGTGAGCAAGGGTAGAATGTGGGTCTTTGACTAGAACGGCATCACGCAGTCACATAGTCAAACCAGGACAAGCACGTATGACTCATAACTGCATTACACAGTCACATTTAGGCATATCAGAGATGCAACATCCAACTATCAAGTAAGTCTTGTGTACATTTGTAGAAGTACAACCTCATGATACGTTTTTTGCATCAAATGGAAACTTGGAAAAAAATCCAAGCCCCAGATGGGATTCATACCCACGACCCTCCATCATCTAGTCAGATGCTCTAACCACTGAGCTACTGGAGACTAGATGGTGAGCAAGGGTGAAATGTGGGTCTTTGTGGGTCTTCAAATATAAAATTACTGCTTTCTATTGGTTTGGTGAGTGCATAAACTTGAATAAACTTGATCTGCTATTGTGTTGAGTTAACCTGGTCTGCACACTTTTTAAGGCCTGTGAAGTTTTTTCATGACCTATTGACTATTTTCCAATTCCCCATAATACACTCTGTCTGCCCCCCAAATTTTGCATAACTTATTGTCTTAAAATGTTCTTGGGAAAATGCAATACTCCCAGGAGCATTTAAAAACAATGGTTTATGCAAAATTTGGGGGGCAAACAGAGTGTATTATGGGGAATTGGAAAATAGAGAATCACAACATCATAAAATGTGGCTTCATTTCTACCCCTAAGAAGAATTTGAAACTATGTTAGGTCAATATATTGTAGCAATTTATTTAGCAACTTGTGTCAGAAGGAATTGACACAAATTGGACTAAGTATGAACTATGAACACCTTGTAGTACATCCAGTTTTGCTTGTGAATCACATAAGGAGACTCATGCATGCACGATATAAAATGATATGGTTGTTGGTAGAGGCTACTTTTCACACCAAAGTTCATAACATGCTACAAAAAAGTTAACTCTACTCTCAGGGAAGTGGCAAAACGACTTTGTTGTGATTAGAAATAACAGGACATCAAAGTAATTAACAGTGATAACAACACTTAGAATTATCTACTCATCACAACATCTCCACAACCCTATGACATTTCTAAAAATACATTCCACAAATATAGATTATATTCATACAATTTCCCTCAAATTCCTTAGACTACGAGCAGTCTCTGTTTTTTTCTTGGTCCGTTGAGCAAAACGCCCGAGACACGCAAATGACCACGTGCATGACTGAAGGCGCGAGACGGGAGAGGCACGACAAAAGAGAGACTACCCGTAAAGCCAGAGAGAATGGTCTTTCACGGTCTAGTGATTTTTTTGGCATTAAAACTGAACTGTTGACAGTCCAGGCACGTGAAACGTGACCTTAGAGTTTGCTTGAACAACAGGGATTTTCCTACATTTCTTTTTTTAAAAAGCGCAGCTTATGCAATGCATAGAGTTAGAGTCGATTCTAAATTAATTGACAGAGCAAATCTTCATTTTGGCCACTGGTCTCGAGGTCATGAAGCTGGTCTATTTACGTACATTAATAATTCATTTCCTGTACTTTATGTTTTGAAGGAGATCACCCAAGGCCTAGTTAGTAGTTCTTGTTTGCAGGATGTTGAATTTTCACGGGATAGTGTTCTTCATATCCTAATTGTAGCTTAACTCATTCTTTGGGCGCCGATTTGTTTTTTTGTTTTTCCTTTCTTTCTTGAGATTCAATGTAACGAATCTTTGTTCTGTAGCACGATGTCCTGTACTGCATTCGTTGGTAATTACCTTAGTTTTATTTTTACGAGTCTTCCAGTCTATGCTACTTTCTGTTTTAAGTTCTAAAGTAAGACCACTGTTTTGGAACTAAAGCGTTCCTTGACAGTGAAGAGAGGCTTTGAGGATTTAAATTGAGCAGTCACGTCACATATCTGGAAAGATGAGACCTTCTCATGCTTCTCTTTGCTCTGAATGTAATTTTTTTTTCTTCGGGAGACATGACAAACATTCCTGCAGTGCTTCAGCCATCATCAACTTGTCAATGGTTTCAACTGTTGACAGTTTGTTGTCAACGCTTCACGCATCAGCCAATTGTATTTTGCATTGTGAGGCCAACACATATTTCATTGCATCAAAACACAGTTAGGAACTGTGTAACACTGATAAGTTGATTACAATTAAAATTTGTCTTTGTGTTCTTAGCCCTAAAATGTTTGAAAATTGTTGTTGTGACGTGGTGAACATGGCGGGTTGCCATTTCTTATACTGCTCCGTAACTCTGGTGCTTCTTCTGCACATAATCATTTTGTTGGATTCCTTTATTTCACCTCCCTGGTCTTCTAAGGATTATCTTAAGCCAATTCTTCAGTTTCGAAACCGTTTGTGCTATAATGGTCCTAAAGGAAGCAAGTCTACAAACCACCTTTCGAATGGCCATGTTGTATCACAGGAAAAAATAACGGATTCTCATTTTTGGATTTTTTAGGGTATTTAAAGAATACCCACAAAAATCCCAAATGTGTGGTTCCAGAAAATATCCAGACCCACCACGGAGGGAATTTGAAATTCCAGGGGGGGGGGGGGGGGGGTTGTCAGAGGCCCAGGAAATTCCAGAGGCGAGGGGGGTTGGACTATAAAATCACTTTCCGGGGGTAAATATCATTTCATTTTCGACCTGAGTTCGAACATTGCTTCTTACCGAACTGTTAGATCATTTTTAGATCATAAATAACTAGAAATTTATCATTTAAGATTGTTCCTTTTGATCTTAACCAGGTTTCCTTTCTTCCAAAAGCGTTTTGGATGTAATTTCAAAGGAATTTGACCAACTACAACTCGTTTTATCCCATGATCGTATATTCGGCCGCCATTACTCGTTACCAGTCTCCCTTAAGACATCAACGCGTGCAACACATCACGTTGCGTCAGTCGATCGATGGAAGAACCGTAGAGTGGCAATTTTACTTCACGAAGTACAAACTATACATTGTAACCACATTAGAATGTAGAGTTTTTATTCTCCTTTTCATTTTCCCGTAATTTTGTGGTTGAAGATGTGGCATGTTCATGATCGAATTCTCGCTCGCTGAACTGGTGTTGATTTCAGCAAACATTACGGCCATCGCCCATAACGCACGTCGCATCAGTCGATCGGAAAACAGTAAATTGAACTTGGTTTCCTTATAACATGTAGGGGGTCTTCATTGCTATGATTTCAGAAGTCACAGTTTTTATTCTTCTCTTTGTTTTGCCTTAATTTTGGGGTTGAAAGTTTGACTTGTTCACCATATAGCATTCCCGCACAACTCATTAATTCTACCAACATTACGCCTACCTTACGCCCATGAAGACAAACCTTGCCCTGATTAAGGTAAATTCATAAATACAACCGACTTGTAACTTTATCTATTTCATTTAAAGTTAGGGATGAGCAAAAACTGCAGATTAGGTTACTTTGTGGTGGTGTAGTGAGTTTTGATGTTGCGAGATCACTCAAATAAATGGAAACAGAAGCATACAAGCTTCTGATGGAAACTGTTACGTACTAACCATAAAATGCCTCATTCTTTTACTTTAATAGTCTTTCTTCGTGAAAATGAACTTTTTCAGAGGGGTTGGGGGGTCTTTGTCACACTTGTGGAAATTCCGGAGGGGTGGGGGGCCCATCAGGTCCATGCAAAAATGGAAAATCCAGGGGGGTGGGGGGATCCTAAGTGAGATTCACTCCATAGTGGGGGTCTGGATATTTTCTGGAACCACACAATTTGGAGGAGTGAGACAAGTCCCAATCAGGGAACTTGGTTGGTAATTCCCTGGTTGGGACTTGTCTCACTTTGCCAAATTTGGGATTTTTATGGGTATTCTTTAAATAACCTAAAATATCCAAAAATGGGAATCCGTTATTTTTTCCTGTGATATTGACTGCAAATTTTCGAGCAAGTTATCGCATCCACGCGTTAGCTATGCTTTCATTTTACATTGCAAACAGGCCAAAATGTCACACTTCTTAAGAAAAAACTATAAATTAATTACAATACCTTCTTCCCCGAGAAGCAAACTGACTTTTCGGTTCCCGTGAAGTTATGCAAAGGTACACGACAGTCGAGGCACACTCTAGCGTATCGTATCGCATTACGTCGTATAAGGCATGGTGTAATGTCCCGAAATGATAACACAAAGGGTTTCATAGACCTCTAAAAACTGTATTTTTTAAAAAATGCGCTATCTTAAAAATAATATACTTTTGGTGCCATATAGACGTGTCCCGTAAATTAGAAGATTATTCAAATATGACAGAAACACTAACAATTCCGGATTCGGCACATTTTGTTTATCATATATCATATACTTATTTGCATCAACCGCTGATTGCAAGTTATATGGAGTAAACGGGGGTCTAATGATACGGAGCATTGGCATCCCCCCTCTAATGCAATCACACATAAATTGGTAAGTCACGTGTCATCGTTCTCTTTCCCCGTGCTCAGAGAAATGGTGGGTGCTTCAATAAATGTAACGATTAAACTTGGTTCCATCCCTCAAATTTTGATCCATCCGTTCTAAATAAAAGCGTAGAAAAATTGGATATCTTATATTTTTGGCGAAAATTTTGTTATTTTGAATATCAAAGTAAACTCCTCAACTTCAGAGACGTTTTTTCATGTCGTGTTGCAAGATGCCAGCTAGGGTTTGATACTTTTTCCTTGTGCTTTTAATTTTATTTCTTGAATTTCCTGTACGACGCTGTCATTTTTCTTTGTTTTTGTTGACTTAGTAATGGGTTAACTGAAATTCTAGTATCAGTGTAATCGTATAACTTTCGAGGAAGGTATACGCGGACGAAGTGCTTTATACTGACGACCCTGTTGCTTCCATCCCATTACTTTCTCCTGCATTTTCAGTACGGTATTTCATCGGAATACTTTCCAGGTTTTTCTGGGTATAAAATATCTTTACGCCTTTTATGTAAATAAGCTTATGTTTCGCTTGACCATGCTCGGTTCCAAGATGTACAGTTTATCCCCGCTTCCCCATGTGAAAGAGTTCTAAATAATTGTGAAGGGGCCTCAGATTTTGTTTTGTTTTGTTCTTGAGATGAGTACTCAACCCCTCTTCTTGACGAAATTAATTCGGTTCAAATATAAGTTCAAATATATGGCCTAAGAAAATGGCTGACACTTCAGGACCAGTGGCTGCAAAGTGATATTTGATAAAAATCTGCAGAAATTCCATATAGATGACATGTCACTACCCAGATCTGGGTAGTGCTTCTTATTTGGTTGAAAGTGTGCTTCATCCAATCAGTACTCCCCACAATTGCAGATCATTGCATTGCATTGCAAAATGTTGGCTGTCTTCTCAGACTATCAAATAAATATATTAAGAGAGGTCTTTAAACACAGCCAAAGAAATTCAATATTGAAAAAGATGGCTGACAGGCATCAAAATCGTCAACTATAATGCTGCGTTTCTTAGGCTATGTATTTGACAGCTCTCTGAATTTAAAGTTCTTTTATGTCGCTTTACAGAAGGTGAGACTGTTGTGCAATTGATCCAAAATACGAATATTTTTAAAATGAAAGGCATTTTTTCTTTTTAGTCTCATAGAAAGTACAGAGCACCACGACACGGCTCTCTGGGTTTCTTGCCCCGTAAGAGGTGCAAGCACCACAATGGTAGAATAAAATCCTTCCCCAAAGATGACCCAACTCTTCCTCCTCATTTGACGGCATTTGTGGGTTTTAAGGCTGGTATGACCCACATTGTGAGAGAAGTCGAAAAACCAGGATCAAGTATGTATCAGCTAAATAGATTGTGTTGATCTTTGTAGGCTTATGTCTAACTATGAGTTCCTTGGAACAACACTGTATAGCACCAAGTGAATTTAGAAAGCTTTGCAAATGAGCGAAAGTTGCACTTGATAGTGGGATAGAGAACAGGCTGTCATTTTAATTGAAGTTCGGACATGGTAACCAAGCAGAAAATGATAATCAAGTCATGAGTGACCCAGTTATTCTCATCAAGTACTACAGTGCATTTTGAAATGGAATAATTGCCCAACCATTGACCTATTTATATACAAATACCCTTTCACTGAAATAAAATTAATCTGTGTAGAGGACAGAATGACATTCCACAAGTGATGACCGAACTATTTTAAAAGTTGGATTGTAATATAAAAGAATGTTTTATTGATGTGTCCCAAATTGGTTTGGATAGCAAATCACTTAACTTAGCTAATGACAAAAGGAGTAAGCAAACAAGAAATTAAAATTTAATTACCTCTTGCTCAACAGAGATTCACAAAAAGGAAGTGGTGGAAGCTGTAACAATCATTGAAACACCACCTATGATGGTTGTTGGTGTTGTGGGGTATATTGAAACCCCACGAGGCCTACGTGTCCTCAAGACTGTCTGGGCTGAACATCTTAGTGAAGAGTGCAAGCGCCGCTTTTACAAAAACTGGTATGTTTTGATTTGTTATTTAAACCTATTTTCCCTTAATTCCATTTTACCAGAATTACAGCAGCAAACAAATCAATGTTTCAATAAATTCAAGGTCAGACTCTTATATGTAGGTAAATTATTGTACCACACTTTGCTGTGTAATCAGAGTGTGGTATCAGAAAAAAGTGGTAAATCCTCCTGCAAATTGAGCCCTTTCACTCCTATTGGTGGCCAAAGAAAAAATTAAGAATTGTTGGAATGTGTTTTGAGTGCTATGAAAAAGTTCAGTTAAAGAGGTTATATTGAGTTGCAATCCAGTTGTGACAGGGCTTAGTCATTGAGGCTTGCAAGAATATTCTTTTAAGAGTTAAGATGACTTTTTTTAGTTACAGAACCTGTGTATCACTAAGAAACTGCTTTTCAATAAAATAAGTTAAACTGGCAGTAAAGTATTGTTCAAATTACTCCTGTTATTACCTTTTTGTGATTGATGTGTTGTGTGGTGCAGTTCTAACCAGTGTTGCCCACATGATAGTGCCTATTCTCCGCTCGGCTTGTCTTTGCCGATGAGAACTGGCTCCCCTATTCTCTCTTCTGTTTCATCAACCATGCAAATGCTGGTTTGTACATAAAGGTGCAAGTCTAAGAAGAAGGCCTTCTCTAAAGCTTCCAAGCGATGGGCAGATGAGGATGGCAAGAGACAAATTGAGAATGACTTCAACACAATGAAGAAGTACTGCAAGGTTATCCGAGTCATTTGCCACACACAGGTAAGACATGACAGAAGTCATGGTTCTGTTAAAGATAGCAATCTACTTGTAAGATTAACAGTCCACATACTTAAAGATATCCACAGGCAGCCTCTCCACAGGGCTCTGTAGGTACCCCATAGGGATCACGTTTAGGCGATCGCATTGTTTTGACAAGCTAGCCCTGCCTTAGTGATCTCTTCTTAGCCTTGATGTCAGTGATCTCTGTAGAAAATGTGGTTCTTAATACCTTATTAGTACTTAATTTTCACTTCTACTTGATAATTCCGCAATTTTGGAGGGTCAGTATTTTGCGTGGCTTTATTTTCACGATGTAAATTGGCAGATATAAAAAAAGAGCAATACATTTCTCAATTCAATTGTTTTTAACTTCTTTTTTCAGTGGAACCCCATTAATACGGTCACCATTATTGGCCGTATTAAATGTATAGCCATTTTGCCAGATGGCCAAAATAAAGTGGCCATAATAACGAAGTGACCATATTTGGAACTTTTTAAAATTTGTGGATAAACTGAAACAACCAGATGAAGATGAATGCTAGATTGTCTACTCTTTTTGTGAAATTTTTGCACATCAACCTTTTTCTACAAAAGAAGATACAAAATGAGACTCATCAGTTATATTATTCATCTACCAGTCAATAGTTGGGATTTGTGGATATTATCTATCCTGTGTATGTTATTTTTTTTATTGAATTTGAATTTTAGGCTCATTGACTTTTGCATGTTTAAATTTCACAAGGATTTTTATTTTGGGGTTTAAGTACCAATAGGGTATGCAGTGGTTGAGGAACTTCCTTTTTTAGTCTATCTTGTTTAGTGCTCTATGTTTGACCAAAGTATTAAAAGCTACAACAAATACCTGAGGTCTCTATTAGCATGATAATACTTTTTTCCCTATTTATAGCAAAAACTTGTGAAACTTGGTCAGAAGAAGGCCATCATAAAGGAGATTCAAGTCAATGGTGGCAAGGATGTTGCAGAAAAAGTTGACTGGGCTCGTGAGCGCCTTGAAAACCCTGCACCTGTGCGCAAGGTCTTTGCAAAGGATGAGATGATTGATGTGATTGGTGTATCTAAGGGTCATGGGTTCAAGGGTGTGACATACCGTTGGGGTACCAAGAAGCTGCCACGCAAGACCCACAAGGGTCTGCGCAAGGTTGCTTGTATTGGTGCATGGCATCCCGCTCGTGTTTCATATTCTGTTGCCCGTGCTGGTCAGTTTGGGTATCACCACCGCACTGAAATCAACAAGAAAATCTACCGCATTGGTCGTGGCATCCATACCAAAGATGGCAAAGTTATCAAGAACAATGCCAGCACAGAGTATGATCTAACAGACAAGTCCATTACTCCAATGGTGAGTTTTAATATTATTTTTGTAAACTTAAGGTTGACAAATCTACTGTGTAGGATGCCTTGGTAAGATTCATGCAGCATATTATAGTGGAGACAGGTTGTCTCACAAAAATTGGCAAACCTTGCAGAACATCTCCTGTCCTCGTGCAAATTTGGGTGAAGTGAGCATTTTTTAAGGTGGTCCTTCAGGGTTGTATTTTGTTTATTCAGATCATGTGTTGAACTCAATAATCCCTTATTTACTTTAATTTTTAGGGTTCCTTCCCTCACTATGGTGAAGTAAATGAAGACTTTGTCATGCTCAAGGGTTGTACTGTGGGCAAAGTGAAGCGCGTACTGACTCTTCGCAAGGTAATGGTTCAGTTATTGTAAATATTGACAAACCTTGTATTCTTATGTTAAGAACCTTACTGTTAATGCAGTCTTTCTGTTGATGAGAATTAGCATTATTATCATTATTATTTTTGTGATCAAGGAATGTATGAATTTCATTTATTGGAACTGCAGGATGAAGAAAATAAATGTAAAGAACATCAAAGCAGTCTTTTCACCCTGTAGTTATTGAAATTCGTATAAAAAATTATTCATTATCACCAGGTAATCTTTGTCTCTCCAACGTATATTACAAACCAAATGAATATACAGTGTAGGTGGCTTGCTAGCTCAGTTGGTTAGAGCAGTGCGCTGGTATCACGGAGGTTAGGGTACGAATCCCAGGAAGCCAGAATTTTTTTAGGGGATTCGAATCAATTGGAAACGGACAAATATTATTAATGAATAATATTATTGTTATTACTGATTTAATTTTTTGATCTTTGGGATGACGTTTGTTTGTATTTAAACTGTGGTGTTCTTAGTATTTCTACATTTGTACATTATTGGTTCAATTTTATCAAGTCCAACAAATTTAAAGCCCTCACAATTGATTGTATGTTATCTTCCACAGTCACTTCTTGTTCAAACAAGCCGTGTTGCCCAGGAGAAGATTGAACTCAAGTTCATTGACACTTCATCCAAGTTTGGTCATGGTCGCTTCCAGCATCCGGCCGAGAAGAGGGCTTTCATGGGTCTCCTCAAAAAGGAGCGTGAGAGGGAGCTAACTGCTGGTGCAGAATAAACTTGATTATGAGATCAATAAAGTTATTCTGAATTTACGAAATGACGTTCTTGGAAGCTACATTGTCATGCGTTAAACTAACGGTGCTTACTACAGTCGCCTCCCGATAACTCGAACCTTCAAGGGAAATCGAAAAAAGTTCGAGTCAGGGGGAGTTCGAGTTATCCAGGGTTCGAGTTACCGAGGGTAAAATTACAGTGACTGTATGACGGAAATCCAGGGGAAATCGATTTTTGTTTGAGTTAGGGCGAGGTTCGAGTAAGCGGGGATTCGAGTTATCGGGAGTCGACTGTATTTGTCAGAACTGGCAGGCCAGACCAGTCCAATAGTTAGGAGAATGCCACTATCAATCAGGACTTTTGGCTATCCAGCCAGATCAATTAATTCCTAAATGGTACGCACTGCAGTGATGGGTTTTGGTAATAATTTCAAGAAAAGACTAATATTCAGTTTCATCTTTAAACTGGCTTGTCCGTTTAGCTATTTCTAAATTTTGGTAAGCGCTTAAGTCCTCCACAGCAAATTTGAGATTGGTATAAACAAAAGCAGAAATACCCAACCCAAGAGATTAGGGTAAAATGAACACGTGTCGTATGTGCCCTCAAGTGTGGATGGTTACTTGATGTTGCGGTGGGGTGCAGTGACCAATTGACCTAATATTGAAAAGACATTGAACAGAACCAACACCACATCACAAAAGGGAACCAACAATAGTTTCGCAACACCAAGAAACACCTCAATTGTGCTTTATCGCGAGGTAAGAAACTGTCTTTGTCTAGGCTGTCGAAGAACTGATGATGTTCTCTTCTAATGTTTGGAGGAGGGTACCGCAATTAAACCACAACAAATAAACTACTTGCGGGCACCCTTGGCCTATCTTTAAAGAAACTTGAAAAGTGTCGTTGATCGTAACTCTCAAGTTATATGGTTGAAGTTAAAACAAACGCACTGCATGAGAACGTTGATGCACCAATCGTGCCAAAAAAAGAGATCAAAGAAAGACTATCGTCAACTCGTGGGTACGTTGTTTAGAAAAATTAATAATCAATTAGTTAGCACCTCTGGTTTTCCCACAGTGAATTTTAGGAAATGATAGAAATTCAGATTATAAATATACTATCCTTGTTCTGGAAACACAATACTTTTCTTGCTGTTTATTGCACTTTAGTAACAGTCATTTAAGTATATATTTAAAAACAAAAAAAAACAAAACAGCAAAACAAAAAAGAAACAAAAAAAAGGAAGAAGGGAAAATGAAGGTCTTTAGCAGAATTTGAACCCAGTACCTTCGGGTTGACCCGACCTCGCATAGCCACTACTCCGTTGAGGATGGTCACATGATTTGGCGAAAAGTCTCAAGTTTAATGCCTTTTCCATGGAACTTCCGCCGGCAAACGACCGGGGCTAACGATCGAGCCATACTTAACCGATTGAGAAAACGACTCGAAGCAATCGGATGAAATTAAGGCTAATTGAAACCAGGCTACTCACAGTAAAAAACAATGTAAACGCATTTCATGGCAATGAAGGAACATATGCGATACAAAGCCGACACAACTCCTCCGCGAAGTAGGACGCAAAACATTAATTACGAAGTGCGTCTACTACGAGTGAGCGAGTGACTCATTTGCATATCTCGGTCCCTGCAATAACTCGTGGTACGCTCGCGCGTACCCACGAGTTAAAAAACGAATAAAGTTTTTGACAGTTTCCTGTGTGACATTGAAATGCCTGAAATCCCGATAGCCTTATGAGCATCACCGGGGGTGATATTTCCCAATAGACCTTTTCACCGATGCGGCGGCCACATTGAATTAATTGGATTTAAGAAGTATTATGGGATGCCCAGGGGGGATTGAGCACGATCCGATATACTCGCAACAGTATTTCTGCGCGCTTTTCGGGCCAATTTTTCTTTAAGTTTTCCTAGAAAAAGATTGTAATGGGAAAAAAGGTCGTTGTGTCCTATTTGGATGTAATAATGATCGCCTTTTTCCCGAGAAATATACATTTTTGCCCGAAAAGGGCGCGTAAATACTGAGCGAGTGCCCCCTGGGCATCCCATAATACTCCTTAAATCTAATAAATTCAATATGGCCGCCGTATCGGTAAAAAGGTCTAGGGTTTGAGTGACAGGGTGGCGGAACGAGCTGAGAGAATGGAACATGGAACTCATGGATATTTCGGATACTCTTAGATCAAACATAGACATTTTATTGACGAGTCGCATTCTAAACAGACATACATAAATACATACATACTTTATTGAGACTCCCTTCAACAGGGCTTTTCAGTCACAATGTTAATTATTACATAATACTGGTAATTAAGAAAAGAAAAGAAAACTTATTTACAGTAGTTCAATTAAATTCAAAATACATTCAAAATTATTCAAAATATATTCAAAATTATTTCGTATGAAATATCCTATTAAAAAGTCTCCGCTTAAAACTATCAAAATCTTTAGTGTTCCTAATATTGTCAGGTAGCCCATTCCATTCCTTTGGGCCCCGAAAATAAAATGCCCTTTGTCCCATTGATAGTCTACATCGGGGGACAACAAAATTGTTACATTCCCTTGTGTTCTTGTTGTGAACTGCTGAACGTTTAATAAAATATTTACCTAAATAATCTGGAGCTAAGCCATTTACACATTTGAATACTAAAACTAAGTCATTAAATAGAACCTTCTCCGTAACATGTAACCATTTAAGAGATCTCCGTCCCTGGGAGATATGGTCAAACTTCTTTAAACCTAATACAACTCTGGCAGCAAAATTTTGTACCAACTGCAGTTAGTGTAGGTTACGTTTAGATGTATTCCCCCATACTGAGGAACAATAAAAAAGTTTACTGAAAACGAAGCTATTTATAAGTAGTAAAAGGGTTTTCCTTTCCAAAAGATGTATAATTCTACTTATCTGTACCAACTGGTTCATGCAGCTAGAGACTGTTTTAGTAACAAGTACATCGTAGGTAAGATATTGATCAATGTATACCCCGAGATCCTTAGCAACTGACACTGGTGAAATAGTTTTGCCCAACAGGGATAAGGAGATATGAGGTAGTCTCTTAATAAGTTGTGCTGAGCCAACAGCCACTAATTTTGTCTTCTCTGGGTTTATGAGTAGAGAATTCGTTGCACACCATTTACTGATGTCCCTAAGATCTTGGTTTACGGCTGCCATAGCACTTGTTGCGTCTGATACAGAAAATTTAAAGTACAATTGGCTGTCATCAACATTTGCAGCGGGTTGGCTATGGGTAATAACACTGATTAAATCATTGATGTAAATAGGAAAAAGCATAGGACCCAAGATCGAACCCTGAGATACTCCATTTGTTACGGGTAACAATTCTGAGACTGAATCCTCGTATCGTACTCTTTGGTATCTACTTGATAGGTAGCTACTAAACCAGGAAGTTACGGAAGCTTTGAGACCCAGTTTTCGAAATTTTCCTAACAATAGATTATGATTAAGGCTGTCAAAAGCTTTTGACATATCAAGCAGTACTAGTAACGAGGCAGATTTTTCATCGATTGCTTTCAAAATGTTATCTGTAACACTTATGAGGGCAGTTTCTGTCAAATGCATTTTTCTGTTGCCACTTTGATAAGTCTACAGTTTGTCATGCGTTGTCAAAAATTCCACAAACTGCTTGTGTGCCAGCCTCTCGCTTACTTTCGATAGGATGGGTAACAATGAAATCGGCCTGTTGTTGGCTGGTTCCTCTGAGTTTCCTTCTTCGGGTACAGGTATCACCTCAGCAATTTTCCTTGCTTTAGGAAAAGCAGCCATCTTAAATGAATTGTTCACCAATCTAGAAATCACAGGTGCGATGCTCTCACAACTGTCTTTCAGGACTCGTGCTGAGATTTTATCATATCCTGGTGCTTTGTTGGCAGCTANTCGGGTACAGGTATCACCTCAGCAATTTTCCTTGCTTTAGGAAAAGCAGCCATCTTAAATGAATTGTTCACCAATCTAGAAATCACAGGTGCGATGCTCTCACAACTGTCTTTCAGGACTCGTGCTGAGATTTTATCATATCCTGGTGCTTTGTTGGCAGCTAAACTCTTAACGACAGACTTGACGTCAGTTTCTTTTACATCCTGGAACTCAAATGCTTCTGTTTCAAACACAGTGAATGCTGTCAGCACTGGTCCTCCTAGCTATTCAAACAATGTTCGTGCTACTGTGCTCAGCGGAAGTTACCGAAAGCCTTATTTGCGATACCGGGGAGGAGTGGGGGCGTGGGAGGGGATCCCATGTAGTGACCGGGATGCTTGTCACCTCTCATTTGGGTAGAAATTGCGGGTTTCGGTTAATATTTCTAGCCAGACGGGTATCGCTTATGGTTGCGCGTAAAGGAATATCAAATCCTCATAAGAATTTTATAGTTCGAGAAAGTTCGATGGGACGGTGATTGCGTAAATGACGTTTTCCCTGCCGTTGCCTTGTATAGAAAATGGAACCATCCTCGAAAAGCTTATATTTCTGAACTTTTTTTTTTAACAGTGGATCAATGGTGTCATTATTCCTCTATTCCTTGTGCAGTAAACGTTTAGTGCATTTTTGCAATTACTAACAATCCGTATGCTTGTTCCACACCTATGAGACACCTATGACCGGTTAAATCACTCGGCCGATCGGAAATCCGGATATGTTTTCAAAATGGCGGCAAAAAGCGACTTAAAGACAATCCTAAAACAGTTGCACTGATCCATCTGAAATTTCAGCTGAGAGATTTTACATGCTGTAAAGAAGTCAAGAAAGGCAAACGGGTAATTTCCCCGAGCGTTGCTCTTTTAAGGCCAAACGTACTCTGAGAGTGTACGGAAGCTGATTCGAGAGGAATTATACTGTTAGTGTCATGTGCGACAACTTTGAGCTTTTTTAAGTGTTTTAACCAGTGTCTTTATATTCTAATTCCTTTTTGATGTACTACTTGAGCGCGTTATATGATACTTTACACCGGCCGACATATTTGATAGAAAGTACAGAGAGACCACCTCCTTGAGGGACCACCTATTCAAACGCCAAAATTTTCTCATTCAAAGCCCTATAATTAGACCCTCTCGAAAACGACCACCACGCGCAGGCGACCGCGACCACGACCACTTTTTGGGCTGACGGTTTAACTTTCCATTGTTTCAAACTTCTTGGAAGCGACTACTTGACGCATGGTGTGATCTCTTTGTTCGCTGTATGTACAACGCCACTCAGAGTAAACGAAAAACGTCCAGTGACAATATGAAACTCACATATAACTTGGAAATTACATGCAATATGTTCTCTTCCAAAATGTAGATTTGTCGGAACCTCTCCTTGGAAGAGACTGCCTGTTCGTCGCCGAATTCTCGTAAGCGACCTCCCGCCCGTAAGCGACCACTAAAACTTTGTATTTTGCGTTGTCATGCGATTAGGGGAGGTTCGAATGTAATTGTAGTAGGGAGAATTCGTATCAATTTACATCTTGTGTTACCATCTACCGGCTGTTTTATCAAGCAATGATGTTACAGGAAGAAATCTTATTCTAATCACGTTGTTGTTGTTGTTTTGTCCTTCGAAAGTAGAAGACGACCAAGACTTCAGATTGAAGACTAGTGGCGGTGGGCCCGAAGATGGCTCATGTAGCCAATCCGTGCCCAAACAGTAAACTAAAACATGGGACATAAGTGTGCCCCGCGTGCTGCGAGTGGATTTGCGCGCAGCACGTTCCTGAGGTCCGTCGGTTTTCTACCGCACGGGCCCTGAGAGGTGGGGTTTTATCACCC